AATCAAGAGATGTTTTTAATTTGAAAACTAAGGGTCTATAGTTTATTTAACATACTATACAATAAATTCATTATGGAAACAAATCAAAATAAAAAAATAGATGATAAAAAAATTATCATGGTTGACAACAATATACAAATAAATCACATGTTGACATTTTATAGAATAGTTAATATCTATTAAGTTTATTATCTAACAATTAGTAAAATTATTTAATATTTTGATCATTATCTCTTAAATGGGAAAATTTTAATTTTAAAAAAACTATTTGTATTTATATAAAAGATAAAGGTTAAAAATACTTTTGACAAATACTAATTCACCAGAAGGAGAAAATTATTTAACATGTTACGATTATTTATAAATATTTTAGGATGAAAGTCAATATTGTGAAAAAAATTAATAATATGGTTAAGCCTTAAAATTTGTTTACATGTTTATGTTGACCAAAATATTATCAAAATGAATCATGGAAATCAGATTGTAGCCAATAAAACTATTGCACAAGTTACTAAAATTATTCAAGGGAATAGAATTTTTTTGATCATATATAATTAGTACGACCCCGTGCAATGCACGAGACATAGATATTAAATAAATTATTTTCACAGACTCTGTTTGTTTAAGTCTAAAAATCAATAGGATTATCTTATATTTTTCACTTGTATTACACCTCTTTCAGTCAGCGTTAAATCTATAAAAAAAAAAAACAAGGAGTTTTATCAATACAAGACCCGAAAGATGGGTAAACTATCAATGCTGGGCCTAAAAGATTTTTTATTTCTCAATTCGGGACTTAAATGTTATAAACCTATCAAATTAAAGACTCGAAAGATGGGCAAACTATCAATGCGGGGCCTGAATTTTTTTTTTTCTCAATTTGAGACTTAAATGTTATAAAACTATCAAATTATGTCTAGAATTAACAAAACTCATAACACCATTAAATTTAGAGTTAAAAAAAATTGGTGTTTACATTTTGAGTTTAAAAAAAATAAATATAATATTTAATTGTTACATTTTATTTTCATATTTATTCACATTTTTAAAAAACTTGCATTCTTCCATCAATTTTTTCTATACTTTAACTCACTTTTTCATTCAAACATTTTTACATAATTTATAACCAATCGTACTCTTGAGTGTTTATAATATTATTGTCCTCATAAATATATGTATTTGTTAAAAAGAATAAAACAAGTATTTATAATAAGTAAATAATTAATATGATTTTTATATTTAAATTGACTATTATGTTTATTGAAATTTCATTCATATGCATTGATAGTTTAAAAATGTGAATGAATATGAAAATAAAGTGTAATAATTAAATATTATATATTTTTTAAAAACTCTAAATTTAAACACCAATCTTTTATTTTTTTTAACTCCAAATTTAATGGTGTTATGAATTTTATTAATTCTAGACTTAATTTGATAGTTTTATAACACTTAAGTCCCAAATTGAGAAAAAAAATCTTTCAGACCCCGCATTGATAGTTTACCCATCTTTCGGGTCTTTAATTTGATAGTTTTATAACATTTAAGTCTCAAATTGAGAAAAAAAATCTTTCAAGCCCCGCATTGATAGTTTATCCATCTTTTGGATCTTGTATTGATAAAACTCCAAAAAACAATAGGGTTATAATATTTTTTCTACATCTGTCAATGATCGTTATACATAACATTAAATATGAACATGTTAGGGTTAGCTTGTAAAATAATTAATATATTACTTATACATACTTAATTCTTTTTTTATCGGTTATACATATTATTTCTTGATATGAAATAAAATAAAAAAAATGTTTGACCTTAAATCAGCACTAATTAATTTATTAAACAAGTAAAAATGCAAAGCAAGACAATTTAATTATCTAGAAGTTTAGGATAATATATAGTTATTTTCTTTATTAAGCATGATTTTTAGAAATAAAATAACATCAGCCCCAATTAATGGGCAACATTCACGATTTTGTTGAAAATGAAAATAACGACATCTTTAATTAATGGGTAGCATTTAATGCTGCCATTCTTATTAAAAAAGAAAAAGAAAAAGAAAAGTTACTAAGAATGGGATGTTTTTAATGCAAAATGATTTTGACCAAAGTTTGACTTGTTATTTTTGAAAAATGATAAATCTTTATATAT